CCTTGACACGGCGGTGTAACTTCGGCGGTACGTGCTGTGGGTTCTGATCGAGTGAGTGCGCTGTATAAATCTAAAAGAGCTGCAGGGCGCGCCATTTCACGTCGTAATACACTGTAAATAAACAGGGCAGAGAAGGAGGACGGCAGAGGAGCTGCCGTATTTTTTTTTTTTCCCCCCCACAAGTTTTATGAGTCATGCAGTTGCCGAAGAGATATTTAGATCAATTTTATCGGTAATGGCGTTTTTTTTTTTTTTTTTTTTCAAGCATTTGGCAACCTGCCCGCTATTCCAGGGATGGCGGAAGTGACTGGTTGCACACTAACTTCGGTGGTCTCTGATGCTAGCTCAGCTGTGTGGATTCCTGCAGGCATGTCACCACGGTTAGCAAGCTAGGCTAGAATGGAAGGAAGCGAAACGGCTCAGATCGACAGGAGAAGCAACAGAGAAAAAAAAAAAAAACAGTTGGACAGACCAATGATTTCCAAACTTCCTCAAGTGCGCCCCCCTCTGGTTCATAAGAGGATTTTCACCTCTGCTTTGCATTTATGAGGGAATTCCGTCAAAAACGTATCTGTTTTATGCTAGCATTGCCAACTCTGGTCAGTTGACTGGCAGAAAAGAGTATAAAAAAACAAGGCCTACATTTGCATTACATTCATTTTTTCCCCCCCCGCCCCCCTGCAATGGCACCGCGCCCCCCATTTTGGGAACCACTGGTACAGACAGTCGTAGAGTGGTAGCTCTTCTCCTTCTCTTAATTCGTGGGTGTCAAACATACGGCCCAAGGGCCAAATCCACTCCCCTGAACCACGAGTTTGACACCCCCGCCTTAATTTATCCACACCTCATCCTTGCGCTTTTATCAAAAGCGACACCCTTCTTCGGGAAACATAAGCCCTCGGTGGTTAACGACTCGAACGCTACGATGCCAAGACGCCAAGACACCGTCCTTGCAACGGGACCATGTGGCGAGAGCAATTACTGTTAGCGTTGCACCACGCTGTTTTCAGGGCTCCGATCACAATCTTACATCCTGCTCCTTTTCCGCAGTGGAATGGGGACAGTGAAGGGACAGATGGCAGCAGATGGAGAGTCAGAAGAACCCCCCCCCCCCCCCGACACCCCCCCTTCGCGGGAGGAAAGGTTTT